GTCCCGCACCCACGTGGCCCTGCCCGGGCTGGTGGGCTTCCTCTCGGCCATCGGCATCTTCTGCAGGACGCTGCTGGTCGCCCTGGCCTCCTACTCGGCCATCGGGCTGACGGTGCTCCGCGCGCCTGCGGCCGCCGCCCAGCACAAGGCCTTCTCCGCCTGCGCCTCGCACCTGGTGGTGGTGGGCATCTTCTGCTCGGTGGTGCTCTTCATGCATTCCCGCCCCAGCCGCGTGGAGTGCACTGACCTGCACAAGGTGCTGTCGGTCGTCTACACGGTGGCCACGCCCGCCTGCAGCCCGGTGGTCCACTGCCTGCGGAACAAGGAGGTCCACGCGGCCCTGCGGAGAGCCCTCCACCCCCGCAAGGGCTCACGACATCTCCCGCTCCTGATTCTAAAACTTTCACAGCCAACACACACATGCGACCTCCAAAGCCAAATAGAAACCCAGAGGGAAGTATTTGCAATACAGCAAAGGATTCTTTAAATAAAGGAGAAACATGAAGACTCAAGAGAAAAACAAAATGAAAATTGTCATGAACAAGAAGATTCTTGAAGGAAACATGTAGGTGGCTGATAACCTACCCCCCAAATGTGCATCCTCTCCAGTGATCCAAGAAATGGAAATTTATTCCTTGCCCACTGAAAAAAGATTATGGAATATTTAAACTTAAGTACAAGCTTTTATTATTACATTGTGAAATTTGGAGTAAACATTATTTTATTGAAAATTTTAACAAATAATTCAAGTGCCCACCAACATGAAATTATTTAAATGTTATGTTATATGCTGTGCTGTGCTGTGTTTAGTCACTCAGTCATGTCCAACTCTTTGCAACCCGATGGACTGTAGCCCACCAGGCTCCTCTGTCCATGGGGATTCCTCAGACAGGAATATTGGAGAGGTTGCCATGCCTCAGGGTGTCTTCCCAATCTAGGGCTCAAACCCAGGTCTCCCACACTACAGGTGGATTCTTTACCATTTGAGCCACCAGGAAAGCCCATGAACACTGGAGTGGGTAGAATATCCCTTCTCCAGGGGATCTTCCTGACTCAGGAATCGAACTGGGGTCTCCTGCATTGCAGGCGGATTCTTTACCAGCTGAGCTACCAGGGAAGCCCATTATGTTCTATATACAGTGTGAAATCACATGCATTCTTTAAAGAGATTAAACCAGATACTGTCATGGGGAGATGGTATATTGTCGAGTTGAACATGAAAGAAGCATTATAAAAGTATGTCAAAGATTCGTAGAGCAATAACAGTAAATAGACTGATTGTAGTAGTTATTTAAGTTAATATTTGCCTAGAAAGTTGGACCATAAAGAAGGCTGAGCACCAAAGAATGGATGCTTTTGAACTGTGATGTTGGAGAAGACTCTTGAGAGTCCCTTGGACTGCAAGGAGATCCAACCAGTCCATCCTAAAGATCAATCCTGAATATTCACTGGAAGGACTGATGCTGAAGCTGAAGCTCCAATACTTTGGCCACCTGATGTGAAGTGTGGACTCACTGGAAAAGACGCTGATGTGGGCAAGAGTGAAGGCAGGAGGAGAAGGGGACGGCAGAGGGTGACAGGGCGGCATGGCATCACTGACTCAGTGGACATGAGTTTGAGCAAACTCTGGGACATGGTGAAGGACAAGGAATCCTGCTGTGCTGCAGTCCCTGGGGTCACAAAGAGTCAGATACAACTTAGCAACTGAACAAAACAACAATGCCTAGAAAAAGGGCTTCACAGGTGGCTTAGTGGTAAAGAACCTGCCTACCAATGCAGAGGGCACAGGAGACGTGGGTTCAATCCCTGGGTCAGGAAGATCCCTTGCAGAAGGAACTGGAAACCCACTCCAGTTTTCTTGCCTGGGAAATCCCAAGGACAGAGGAGCCTGGCGGGCTATAGTCCAAGGGGGTTACAAAAAAGTCAGACACAGCTGAGTACACACACAGGGCTTAGAGGATATCTAGAAAGGAAACTGAAAGATGTACATCAGTTATTAGCTGCGTTTTCAGGTGTGAGACCTCAGGGGACTTGTATTTTCTATTTTATACATTTGAATATTTTTCAATTATCTAGGATTACCTGTATAACTGAAAAAATAAGCATATTATAGAGAAAATACAAATTCCAAGAATGAACTTCTGTAGAAAGACCTACTCATCATACATAGCATATTTTTATTTTAAGTAATAAAAATTCATGTTGACAGTGCCTCAAGAGAAATGCCCATGTTCTAGTGTGGTTTGTGAGAGTTAATGTCGGTATGCTTTAGAACAGCAGTTTACTAATAAATAACAAAAAGCCTTGAGAGTCTGGATGGCCTTGCATTCATTAATTCTACTTTGGGAATTTATCCTGGAGAAGAAAGGGCATGAAATGGGCAAAACTGACCTATTACGGGACCTCCTCTGGTAGTCCAGTGGATAAGACTCAGTGCTCCCAATGTAGAGGGCGTGGGTTCAAACTCTGTGTAGGGAACTAGATCCCACATGCTGCAACTAACACCTGGTGCAGCCATTAAATAAAAAATTTCTGAAAAGTTGACCTACACTGTCACTAAACTATTTGTGCACAAATAACCCAGTAGTTCATCCCCAAAAAGGCAACAGGAATGGCCAATAAACTATGGAATAGTGTTCCACCTCCACCTCTACTAAAGAAATGAAACCCAAAGTGGTGGAATGAAACTGGTAGTGGAACATCTTTTAATATGCTCACAGCACATTAAAAGGAAATCCTCTGAGAAAACGCAGTGTTGGTTGGATGTGGGGGCAGCTTCCCTCCCAGACTGCTGTGGGCATGTAGATTGAGGCTGTGTTTCTGGAAAGAAATTTGCTAATATTTATCAAATTTTGAATTCACGTGCACTGACTTGGCTATTACCATTTTTTTGATCTTCATGTTCTAGATCTTCAGATAGCCTTGGATTCTGTTCATCAAAGTTTCCAGCCCTCTGTCCTCCAGCCTCTTTCTGCCTGGGTGGGATGATGTGAGTGGCCAGTCCTAGACCAAACCACTTAATCCCTGGCACTTTAATCTAGAATGCTACCGGAAGCATTCTCATATGTGTATTTTTATAGATCAGTGCTTTAATCTTCCTATGAGGTATCTGCAGAAGTGGAGGTTCTGCGTCAAAGTGTAGGCAAAATTCAAATACCAGTTTGTTCTCAAAGAGGGTTTCAGCAATTTATGCCTCCACCAGTGGTCTTTGAGTGGACATTACCGCGTTTCAAAGCCACCTCAGCTGTTAGTTGTTCAGTCGTGTCTGACTTTGAGACCGCCCATGGACCCCAGGCTCCTCTGGAATCCATGGAATTCTCCAAGTATGAATACTGGATTGGGTTGCCATTCCCTTCTCCAGGGGATCTTTCCAACCCAGAGATTGAACCCAGGTCTCTTGCACTGTAGGCAGATTCTTTACCGTTTCAGCCACCAGGGACACCCCAACCTCAGCTCAGCTCTACGCGTTAACAGTCTCTTGAATCTTTCCTGATCTGATACAGTGATGGTAAAACATCATAACTAGCATTTTTGCTGAGTATTCAGGAGATTTATTAGATTCATTGGTCATTTGCATGATCTCATCTATAAACTGCCGTTTATAATTGCCCTGCTTACCCTGCCACACATATATTTTGAAAGTAGAATATCGGTCACTTTGAAAGAGCTTGACAGTTCTTTAAAAAGTTAAATATAGCATTAGCATGTGTGCTGCATGCTAAGTCACTTCATTTGTGTCCGAATCTTCATGATCCTATAGACTGTTGCCCACCAGGCTCCTCTGTCCATAGGATTTCCCAGGCAAGGATACTGGAGTGGGTTGCCATTTCCTCCTCTAGGGAATCTTCCTGACTCAGGGATTGAACCCATGTCTTTTATGTTTTCTGCGTTGGTAAGTAGGTTCTTTATCACTTGCACCACTGGGAAGCCCCTAGCATTAGTATATAACCCAGCAATTCCACTCCTATGCATATACTCAAGAGAGAAGAAAATGTGTTTCCACAGAAACAGCTAAAAAGAGAAAACAACTCAAATGTCTTTCAGCTGAGGAATGGGCAAACTAAATGTGATATATACACATAATGGAATATTATGCAACCATAAAAAGGAATAAAGTACTGAAGCATGCTGCAATATGCACAAACCTGAAAATATTATGCTAAATGAAAGAAGCCTCATTTAAAAGTCCACATGTTATCTGATTTCAATTATGTAAAATGTCTAATCAGGCAAATCCATACAGAGAGAAAGATGAATGGTTTCTTAGGGCTGGGGGCTGGAATAGGGGATTGCAAGTGACTTGTGGTGTGTACAGGTTTCTTGTTTAAAAAATTGGAGTATAACAGCTTTACAATGCTGTTAGTTTCTGCTGCACGGCAGTGTGACTCAGCCATCTGTATACATAGATCCCCTCCCTCCTGAACTTCTCACCCCACATCCCACCCCACCAGGTCGGCACAGGGCGCTGAGCTGGGCTCCCTCTGCCTTAGGTCACATTCCCCTCAGCCATCTGTTTTACTCAGGATAGTGTATACATGCCAGTGCCGCTCTCTCCATTCATCCCACCTCCTCTCTGCCCCTCTGGCCCCACATGTCTATTCTCTACATCTGTATCTCTATTCCTCCTCTGGAAATAGGTTCATCTGTACCACTTTTCTAGATTTCATATGTATGCATTAATATACAACATTTGTTTTTCCTTTTTCTGATTTACTTCACTCTGTATGACAGACACTCAGTTCATCCAGATCACGACAAATGACCTGATTTTGATCCTTTTCACAGCTGAGTAATATTCCATTGTACATCTGTACCACACCTTCTTTATCTATTCATCTTGGTGATGATGAAAATGTCCTGGAATCAGATAATGGTATTGGTTGCACAATGTTGTGAATGTGCTAAATACCCACTGATTCATACATTTTCAAAGGATGAAGTGTATACTGTGTGAATTTCAAGAATTGACAACTTGAGTTGTCCACCATGCCCTTAGCTAGTCAGCCACAGGACCCACGTAGAGTTCTACGGAAAGCGGCCTGGACCTCCCTGTTTCGAAGGCAGTAGATGACCGGATTGCACATGGGCGTGACCACTGTGTAGGTGACCGACAGCACCTTGTTGAGGTCCATGGCTTCTATGCGGCTGGGGCGGGCATAGATAAAGAGAGTGGCCGAGTAGAAGATGCCCACCACCACCAGGTGGGAGGCGCAGGTGGACAAGGCCTTGCCCTGGGCAGCTGCTGATGGCATGTGGAGCACGGCCCTGCCAATGGCCACATAGGAGGCTATGGCCACCAGGAGGGAGCCCCAGAGGATGACGATGGCAGAGAGGAAGTCTACCAGCTCAGTCAGGGCCACGTGGGTGCAGGACAGGTTGAGTAGTGGGGAGACATCACAGAAGAAATGGTTGACGACATTGGGGCCGCAGTAGGACAGGCTGGCGATGCACGCTGTCTTGACTGCTGAGACCAGCAGCCCACCAAGCCACGAAGTCCCAGCCAAGCCCAGGCAGACCTGGAGCCGCATGAGCAGCGGGTAGTGCAGTGGGCGGCAGATGGCCACGTAGCGGTCACAGGCCATGGAGGCCAGGAGGGCGCACTCTGTGCAGATGAGGACGATGAAGAAGAAGAGTTGGGTCATGCAGGCTGTGAAGGGCACGTGGTAGGGTCCCGTCCACAGCCCCGCGAGCAGGCTGGGCATGGTCACCGACACGTAGCACATCTCCAGGCAGCTCAGGTTGCCCAGGAAGAAGTACATGGGCTTGTGGAGCTCAGCGTGGCTGCAGACGAGGAAGACGATGAGGGCGTTCTCCAGGAGGGTCAGCAGGTAGAGGGTCAGGAAGAGGACAAACAGGACTTCCCTTGCTTCTGGGCTCGTGGACAAGCCCAGCAAGATGAATTCCTGGACCTTCGTCACGTTGCCCAACTCCAGGGACCTCTCCATCTAAGCACAAAACATACTGCAAAGTAGTTCACAGATCTGTCTCTGTAGACCTGGCCTCACCCCAGATCCCAGCCATCATGTCACTCAGGTACCTGAGACACCCTCTTCTCTGGCCTCCCTGATTCCATGCTTGCTGCTACAATCCTCCACAAAGTGGCTAATGGAGCCTCTGAAAAACACAGTCCTCTAGGGTCACTCCTCTGCTTAAAGCTTTTAATCTCTCCCCCATGATTCTTAGAGTAAACCTCATGTTCCTCATCAAACTTTGCCAGTTGCTTCAGGTTTGTTTTTTGATTTTTGGAGGGGGGAGAGGACTTTTTCAAAATTAATTTTTATTGGAGTAGACTGGCCTTACAATGTTGTGTTAGTTCCCGCTGTACAACAAACCAAATCAGCCTTGCGCGTACAGATGCTCCCCCCGTCGGGACTTCCTTCCCCGTGAGGTCACCGCGGATCGCTGAGCAGAGTTCCCCGAGCTCTACGGTCGGCTCTCATTACTCCTCTATTTTACAGGCAGACTCAACAGTGGATACGTGTCAATCCCAGTCTCCCAGCTCATCCCACCCCACCACTCCACATTCCCCTTTGGTATCCACACGTTCGTTCTCTATGTCTGTCTCTATTTCTGCTTTGCCAATAAGATCATCTGTACCACTTCTTTATATTCCATGTACGTGTGTCAATATATGATATTTGTTGTTCTCTTTCTGGCTTAACTTCACTTTGTGTAACAGTCTCGAGCTTCAGCCACGTCTCTACAAATGACCCTATTTCATTCCTTTTTATGACCAAGTACTATTCCATTTGTATATATGTGCCACATCTTCTTTATCCATTCCTCTGTCGACGGACACTTGTGTTGCTTCCATTGTAGTGACTATTGCAAAAAGTGCTACAAAGAACATGGGGGGGGTGCGTGTATATTTTGAATTATGCTTTTCTCTGGGTATATGCCCAGGAGTGGGATTGCTGGGTCATATGGTAGCTCTATTTTTAGTTTTTTAAGGAACCGCCATACTGTTTTCCCAGTGGCTGTTATCAGTTTTAACTCACATCGTCGTCCCTCTTCTTCCATTTATCAAAGCCATACAGGGACATTTCCATTTCCTCCAACGTTGCAAGGTCCTGCCAGCCTTAAAGAATTCCCACGTGTTCCTTTTGTCTGGAACACTTTCTCCCGCTTCTTGCTCTTTCCATTTCTGGGAATCCTAGACATCTTTGGCATAATTTTTCAATTTCTTGTCTTCAGATAAACCTCCCTTAAAAATTCTCTATCAAACCGTGTCTTTACTTTCTCTCTGTGTATTACAAACTGTTATCATTTTAAACTACTTGTATATTTGTACAGTTATTCAGTGTCTCTCTAACTGGGATGTAAGCCTGGGGGAAGGAGCTAGGTCTATCTCACTTAGAACTCTACCCTGGAGACCTAGCAAAAGAGCACATTGCCCGGTACATTATAGGTACTCAGGACATGCTTATTTAACGTGTGATGGCTCAAAGTTGGATTTAAGGGCATCACATTTTCTAGGAGATGCAGACACCCAGGTTGGGTATTGGCTGGGAGCACCTGATCTCGGCCTTGGGGACTCTCTCTTCAGTTGCTGGTGGTTGTTGATTTGGAAGGGGGCTGACATGGTGTGGGAAGAATACACACCTGGAGTCAGGATTCCTGCCTTGTCTGCTTATTCCATCCCACAGACACTTCGGGAGCATCGACATGCACTCTGCCCAGTACAGAGTGGGTGTGAAGATAAACATCGTGGCCCATCCAGTAGGCGTTTTCTCTCTGCGTGTGAGTGTGTGCATGCATTAGTTGCTCAGTTGTGTCCGACTCTCTGTGACCCCATGGACTATATCCGCCGCGCTCCTCTGTCCATGGGGTTTCCCAGAATACTGGAGTGGCTTGCCCTTTCCTTCTCCAGGGGATCTTCCTGACCCAGGGTTCCAATCCAGGTTTCCTGCACTGCAGGCAGATTCTTTCCCCCTGAGCCACCAGGGAAGCCCAGTGTTCTATCTAAGTATCCCTTATTGGCTAAGCTTGGGCAAGTTACCTAACCTCTCCTACCCTCAATAGACTTTCAAGGGAAAAAAAGAAAATACATGTACTTAGCTTCATCTCAGATGATCTAATATCTGCATCATTAAATAAAAGTCAGATAGACCTGGATCTCTGAACATTCAATCTTCCACCAAATAGCTGTGTCCATGGGGTCGCAAAGAATTGGACACGACTTAGCGACTGAACGACAATGACCAAATAGCCATGAGATTTAGACAAGTTACAGGTTCTTGTAAAACCTCATATGCAAGTTGGGGATAATTTTAGCTCTTATAGAGTACTCATAGGGTTGCCATGTATCAAGTGTCTGACACAGGGTACACAACCAATGTTATCTGTTAATATTAAATAGTATGCCAGGGGCTTTCTTGGTGGTCCAGTGGTTATGGCTCCATACATGCTTCCACTGCAAGGGGGTGTGGCTTTGATCCCTGGTCAGGGAACTAAAATCCTGCATACAGTGTGGCCAAAAAAAAAAACTAAACAAAAAGTATGCCATCCAAATACAGGTATCATCTCTCATTAATTATTACTAATGAATAACATTTGAATGAATAAATGACTTAAAATAATAATTAATGAATACTAATTAATAACTATTAATTAACAATTTCAATAGATATACGTTACTTCATCAACACAGTTTGCGACCATTCTGTGAGTGAAGTGTTATGTGCTGCGTTTTGCAGACAAGGAACTAAAGCTTGGAGAAGGGAAGAGACTTGCTCAGGGTCACACCTGGGTCTCTAGTCCTGAAGCCAGAGATCATTCCTCTAGACTCTGCCGCTTCTCCATGTGAAATGACTCACATGTGCTTGAACCTATACCATGAAGTTGTCCTTTGCTCTGACCTCCAAACTGGAATTCAGTCCTGGCTCATTCATTTAACCCATTCTCACAGAGGAAGCACTCATACACACAGCAAGAAAGGGCAGAAGTTTGATGAAGGGGTATCTATTTGCACAAGGATGGGCTGGGGGAAATCTCTGACGTTTTAACTGAGCCTTGAAGGGTTCCTGGAATTCTGAAAGTTGGAAAACGGATACAACAATGGGCCACCCAGGGAGAAGGAACAGCTCCAGCAGAGACATAAAGCTGTGACCAGAGTTGGACCCAACTCACTCAGCTTTCTGGGAACTTTTTCTTTTTTTTTTTCAGCCCTGATTCTTAGCTCCCAGCCCAGCTGTTCCTTTTCCAGCATGCCTGAGTGACATCTTGGTACAACAGAAAGAATTCAGGGTTCAGAATCACGTGGACCTGAAGTCCAGCTCCAAATTCTCTGTGCTTACTGGGATCAAGTCAAGCATTTTTACTTACTCTTACTGAACTTCAGTTTCTCCATTCATAAAACAGGAGCCACATTTATAAGTTTGTTGTTGTTCAGTTGCTAAGTTATGTCTGCCTCTTTGCAACCTCATGGACTGCAGCACTCCAGGCTTCTCTGTCCTTCACTGTCTCCCAGAGTTTGCTCAAGATCATGTCCATTTAGTCAGTGATGCTATCCAACCATCTCATTCTCTGTTGTCCCCTTCTCCTCTTGCCTTCAATCGTTCCCAGCATCAGGGTCTTTTCCAATGAGTTGGCTCTTCACATCAGGTGGCCAAAATATTGGAGTTTCAGCTTCAGCATCAGTCCTTCCAATGAACACTCAGGACTAATCTCCTTTAGGATGGACTGGTTGGATCTCCTTGCAGTCCAAGGGACTCTCAAGAGTCTTCTCTGACACCACAGTTCAAAAGCATCAATTTTTTGGTTCTCAGTGGCTCAGATGGTAAAGTCCCACCTGCAATGCAGGAGACCCAGTTTCAATCCCTGGGTCGGGAAGATTCCTCTGGGGGAGGAAATGGAAACCCACTCTAATATTCTTGCCTGGAAAATCCCATGGACAGAGGAGCCTGGTGGGCTACAGTCCATGGAGTCACAAAGAGTTGGAAATGACTGAATGACTAACACACACAGCCTTCTTTATGGTCCAACTCTTATATCTGTACATGACTACTGGAAAAACCATAGCTTTGACTAGACAGACCTTTGTTGGCAAAGCAATGTCTCTGCTTTTTAATATGCTGTGTAGGTTTGTCATAGTTTCCTTCCAAGGAGCAAGCATCATTTAATTTCATGGCTGCAGTCACCATCTGCAGTGATTTTGGAGCCCAAGAAAATAGTCAATCACCATTTCCACTTTTCTGCTATATACTTGCAAGGAAGTGATGGGACCAGATGCCATGATCTTAGTTTTTTTAATGTTGAGCTTTAAGCCAGCTTTTTCACTCTCCTCTTTCACCCTCATCAAAAGCCTCTTTAATTCTTCTTTATGAGTATATCATATGATTATTTAGAGAATTTATGGAGATAATACAGGGGAACCACTCAGCAAAGCACCTGACACAGAATAGCTGTCTGTATGTACCATTTCCTGTCTTACCATCTTTACATTTCCTTCACTTTGTTCCCCAGCAAATGAAATACCCAGTATCCTTACCAGAAAATCTCGAGTGAGATGAGTCTATCAGAATGGATACAGCTAAGTCTCTTTCCTTCTTGATGTCTCTGGTCAGTGACGAGATGGTCAGAGCATCCACTTGGGGACAGAATTTTCAGGAAGGGGCCAGAGGCTTCAGCAGTCAGAAGACAAGGGCAGCTCCTTGAATTCATGCCAGCGTGGGAGGAGCTGACCTTGATCCTGAGCGGGAGGTCCCAGCAGGGCCACTGCACACGGTAACCCACCGCATCCTCCAAACTGCATGAGTCTGGACACTGCCAGGGTGCCTTTGTCCTCCCTGCCGACCAGCAGGGAAAACATCTTACACCAAAGCTGAGGCTCTCTGACACCTCCCTCCCCTGATCTCTGTGGAATTACAGAACCGATGGGAAAGGTTTTTTTTTTTTTTCCCTCTAAATTTCAACTGGACTTGACATAAGTAGGCAAAAGCATCCC